CAGGCTATAAGAGAATAAATTATTGTTGCTGTGAGCCTCGTGGTTTATGGCAATCCATTGTGCCATCTACGGACAACCTGTCTAGACTCTAACACAGCCTTAGATGTGCAGATAGGAGCGTCTCAGAGAGTCCTTCTGAGAGGAGGTAACTTTGCACCATGTCAAGGGTGAGGGGGTAGGAGCTAGCCTAAGGAAATGCTGGAGGAAGTATGTACAATCAAGTTGTGAGACAGTTCAAACTGTGAAGAAGTTCAGGGTACCCACTTCCAGGATGTGAAGTAGGCTTGTTTCAAGGGCTCCTGTTCTGCTTCTCTTGAGTCTCTGGGGGCCCATACATGTGCACCCAAGTGTTACATTTCCTAAGCCATGGGGCCTCTGTTTGAGGTCACTGCTGGTGGTGCTAAGGGGCTTTAGCCAAGCTTGCCAGGAGGTGTGGTTGGTGGCCACTGGCCCAGGAGTGAGCTTGCCAAGAGCAGAGAGCACAGGTAAAGTATACTGATGCAATGGAGAGGAGCCTTTCCACAAGATCAGTGCTGCCTTCTGGGCGTACCCTGGAAGTGAGAGAAGGCAGGGATGCAAAGGGCAATACTTCTGGTTGTACTGTAGGAAGAGGTGGGTATAAGCACTCACCAAGGACATAGGCAAGAGGGGTGGATTGGTGAACTCTATGGAAGTTCATTGATTCCTCTTTGGGAAAAGCTGAGTCAGGGGTCATTTGGAGCAGCTGAGCTTAAAGGTGATGATCATCAAAGGGACCTGGACCCCTGGCATGTTAAGAAGAAGCAGAAGTGAACAGATGGCATCAAGGAGAGAATCCAGAAAAACTGACAAAAGACCATGTTGTTCTAGACATTCCAAATGGAAAGAAATCTCTAGAGGCTTAACTGAGGTTAAATCCCAGAGACAGTGAAATCTAACTCTTAAAAGTGGTTTTTCTTTATGAAATGTGAAATGAGTTGTTAAGGCAATCAAGAGTAAGCCTTGACTCCTGTCAAATTAGAAATGCTTTTCTACAAAACCCACCATTACAGGGAGAGAGGTCACAGTGTACCTTGCTTCTGACACTGTAGCTTAGATGTGAAAGGAAGTGTACTCAGGCACACACCCAGGACCCATACACTCCCCTGTTTGCCCGTGGCATTGATGGATTGATTCATTAGGCTATACACAATGGCTCTTGTCAGCTGTTTGTAGGGACAACTCAAGTCATGTTGGACAGTGCACGGGAATTTAATATTCTATATGCACATCCTACAAGTCATCAAATGTGACTAACTCTTGTCTTTATTTTTACCTTGATCCACTTTCCCCCTTGCTTTTGTCATCTGCTTGGTTGTCCAATTTCTCCCCGCCCCTTTCCATTTGTCTTTTTTGTTTAAATTGTCCTATGATAATCTTCATACTCTTCTTGACCTGATACCATACACCAGCAAGATCACTGTGGATCGTTGGATGATTTTAACTAGCTGCATCATAAATATCAGCTGCTTGACATTGCAATAGGTTTATACTAATTGAAGCCTCCTTTGATCATCTTGCTTTCAGGTGGGGCACAGCTCCTTGCAAGTTGCAGAGTAGTTTTCAAATCAAAACATCATGGTTCCCTTCTCAGTCATCAGACTTTATCTGTAAGGGATGTTACTAGCCTTAAGACCATGTTGAACTTGAGCGACTTCAAGTGTGTTGAGAAACTGACTGAAGCCTGGATGGATGTCTAAGCTCCCCAATAGAATCCTCATTTGGTGGATTTGGGGGATGTTACCACCCGAACAAATGTTTCTTATCAACTTCTCTAATGCTGGCTCTGTTGCTGGAGGGGCACACTTGGAAAAACTGTACTAGGGGATAGAAAAGAGGTGTTGTTAGCCGTCATAGCCTTCCCCCCCCCAAGAAGCAAAGTCCTAAGACAGAGATTGAGGGCTTAAGAATACAGAGAGCATTCTCCAAGAGGTGATCCACAGGCAAGCGAAGGGTACTTAGTAGAGGGGGACCTGAGTGAAGGCATTGTCCAAGGTCAACTTTGGCCTTTTATCAATATTCTGTCATGGCCTTTTATATCATAATCACATAGTTATGGTCCAATGTGAATAATTATACTCATGGAAGAGAGGGACTCTGTATTATTGGCAGCACATTTCTAACAGCAAAGGCACTGAGTAACAATCCAGCAAATAGACAGTAACAATCCAGCAAAGGGATGGAGTAGCAATCCAGCAAAGATGACTGAGGGCTCAGCAGCATCAGCCCCATATTCTGACTTTGCAGATGGAGAAAACAGAAGCAGTGAGGGGGAAAAAAAGTGTGTATAGCCACATGGCTACAGCTAATAACTCAGCTGGGTGTCTTCAGACACAAAGCCTAACTGGGTATGAACCCTTCAGTTGGTCAGGTCCTACAACCTAAGTCGGTTCTTTTCACCCAAGGCCATTTCTCCACCAGTCACTTTACAGTTTTTATATGTTGCCTCATACACTGTATTAATGTCATAGGTTTTTGGTTCCTTTTCATAGTATGTCATCATGTTTTTCTATGTTGTTACAGAGACATACTATGTATGCATAGTTAAAGGTTCTTCAGTCTCTCTACCTGAATCTCCCCAATTACTATGCTACAAGAAATATGGTACCCCCAAATATATCCATGTTCTGATCCACCCTTGAGATGGAGACATTGCCTTGGATTGTCCAGGTGGGATTACTTTAGTCCAGGAACCCTTGTTCAAAGGAAACAATAGGGAAGAATCAAGGAGAAGGGACAGTAGCAAGAGCCGGAGTGAGGCAGGCATAGGTTAAGGAATATGGAGTGTCTAGCAGGAAGGTCAAAGATAATAATTTCCCCCAGCACCCTCAGATAGCAATGCTTGGCTGCTCATTTGATTTTAGCCCAGTGTTGGACTTGATCTCCAGAGGATGCATTGGTCTTGTGGCCATTTGTTATAACAGGCATAGGATGCTCGTACTTAATCACTCATGCTTCCCAATTCTAGCAACCTCTCTTTTTCCCTATTAGAAATGAGGCTATTCCCAATAGTGAATGATTATTATGATGTAATATTATGTTTTGCACACTGTACTGAAATCAAATTAGTTGTGTCACTCATTTTTTCCAGTATCCCTGTGAAGTAGTCACCTCCATATTCTCCATCATGCAGGGAGGAACCAGAGCATGTCGAGCAGTGTACCCAAAGCTATCCATGTACCCAGAGCTGGAACTCAAGCCCTGGGACTCTGTGGTCCAGTGTTAGTGGTTGACTACTGGTGCTACCACATTAGTGATGCTGGACTTTGGCAAGAACCACCTTGACCTGTGCTGTAACAGTAGCACCCTCTGCCATTTATCAGATTTACCTGATACTCCATTTTCATCCAAGTGCTTTGATAAGAATTTCCCAGGGCAGTGAGGGCAAGGCCTTTGTCTCTGTAGGAGGTACCATTGTCCACATTTATGGATGAAGGCAGGATCCATAGCTGATTCTAGCTGATTCACTGAGGGTCAGCTAGGGCCAAACATGAGCAGACAATACCCCATTTGGTCCCCAAAACTGTGCCAATTCTAAATTCCTCATGCCCATGCCATGCTACACAAGCAGGCCAGGTAACTTCTGTTTTTATCAGCCTCACAGTCAGGTCCTCTGAAGCATCAGCATTGCACAGAAACCCACCAAACACTTCAGGTTTGATATTAGTGCTACACAGAAAGTAATAAGTGTGTGTCACCTTGAATGACCCGCTGTCATTCAGTGACAGTCATGATGGAAGTTCATTGTCACTCAAAGACAGGATGTAATGAAGGCAGTCTTTGGGTGGGTTAGAGGTGAACCTTGAAAATTCCCTAGAGTCAAATCTTGACCCCTTCCCAAATCTTTCAAACTTGACAGTACTGTGGTATATGATTTTCTTCAGAAAGGTGCTTTAACCTCTATCTGAACAAGCCAGTTATCTTCTTATGGTACTGGAGATGGAGTATTCACCTCTACCCAGATTCTACTATATTCTAGATTTCTGAAATAGCATGTTAAATTTAAATATCTTGGTGCTTAATCTCTAGGACCAGCATTGTCTATTGCAGTGTTTTCAACAGCCACATTCTATAGAATGTGGCCTTGGGGAGACAAAGTTTTGCCCCTGGTCTAGAGAGAGTAGATCTCTGGCTATGCTTGCACAGACACCTCCAGTCATATCTTCCTATGCCAGATTCACATTTCTTTAAGAATCCTGGAAAATATTACTGTGAAAGATCTCAGGGTTACTGTTACTGTGGATCAGTAGCTAAGTTTGTCTCAGTTCTGCCCCAGGACTGCTCCTTGCTTTCATCCATAGATGCTTTTCCCAAAACTATCTCTGCTTGGGACTCCAGGAGTCAGATAGGGCAGATTCCATCTAACAGAAAGCTTAAACCAAGAGAAATCTTGTCCATTTACCTTTATCTACATTCGGGCCTGACCACAGCCTTAGTTGTCTTTATAGCAAAAGCCCCTTATGTCACCCCCAAATATCTTCATACTCGCTAAAGTGACTTGGCAGCCAGTGCCTGGTCACCCACTGTCCCTCTAGTTATGGATGCATTGAGAAACTGGTCAAAGTCAGTCTTGTATTTATGCCTTGATGCTAGAGGTGCTGGGAAATGTAGAAATGTGGGTTCTCTCTCCTCCCTCCCTCTCTTCCTCTTTCCTCCCCCGCCCACTCTGAGTATAAACTTGAGACAATGGAAACATGATTAGAGCCACATCTGGTCAACCACTTACCAAATCTAAAGAACTGAAACAACTGTATGGGGAAGGACTCTTGTAACCAAATCAATAATAATGAGCTCCGAGAGCAGAAGAAGCTGGAACAATGAAGAAAGGACACAGGTTTTGTCATGGCTTGTAATATAGTGGAGCTGCTATTGGCTGGTATATTATGTGAGTGGGAACTAAATTTTATAGGAAAGCTGAAGTTGCACATTCTATTTTATCCTTTGGTGTACTAAAAGTAGCCGTGTCATCTCCTTTTGTCTAGGATTACTGGACACGCGCTATAGTACAAATGATCAATTCGCCCTTAAAAATCTCCAGTCTGATGTTACAGAGAGGAAGTCGGACTTCGCCAAGGTAACCTATGTTTGTGACTTCCAGGCTGATTAGCAAAAGTTGCTGGACTATAAAACACAATTGCCTGCCTGCTTGAGATAGGGTGTGGTTTATTTTCTTTAATAGAATGTTGAATTGATGAATCTGGGAAAAACCCAAACTCAAGTGAACTTTATAGGAAACTTTATAAGAACTTTATAGGAAAGTATAGAATATATAGGTGCACTCAAAGTGGCTCTTCTACAATCTTCACCAACAATTTTTAAGTTTGTAGTGTCAGAGGAGAGTATGATGAGTCTACCTCGATTTTAAAGTAGGAGAGGGGAGTCAGAATACCAAACTATGTAGCATCCTGAAGGTCAGAAGGGAGTACTTTGAAATACAACAAGCCAGTACAGGTTGTTTTATCTGGAAGAAGTATCAGTAGTGTGTAATAGAGACAAAAAGTAGAAGTCATATGTGTATAACGAAGTGATTCAAACCAGGAGGTGAAGAATTCTGCACATAGTGGTTAACACAGCCAGTTTATATGCCAGGTTCTGCGTAACTAGTTGACTCATTTGATGCTTCTATAGGCCTGGAGTGTGGGGGGGTCCTGATAATGAACCCTTGTGCAGAAGCCAAAACAAAGCTTCAATGTAGAGCCAAGCATCACACACATGCAAACCTTGAAGCACCTAAAGTGCTGGGCCCATGGCCTATCCATTCTGCCTTTGCTCTGGAGGTCTGCCCCAGGGTAGAGCTCACCTTCTGTGTCTTATAGATGTTTCCTTAGAACAGATTTAAATAGGAAACATGTCTATTTGGGATTCTTCCTAAAAAAAAAAAAAAAAGTGTCTTTTATTTAACTCTGCACTTACTATAGATCTACAGCTCATCCAGGAATCCCTAGACTCAATCTCTCAAGATAAAGGATGCTATTCTAGTTTGGTTTCTATTGCTGTAACAAAACCAGCTTGGAAAGGAGTTTATTTGGCTTTCATGTTACAATCCATCATCAAAAGGAGCCAGAGCAGGAGCTCAAGGCAGGAACCTGGAGGCAGGAACTGAAGCAGAGGCATACAGGAGTGCTGCTTACTGGCTCGCTCCCCTAGTTGTTCAGCTAGCTTTCTTATATAGCCCAGGCCCACCTGCGCTGGAATGCACTACTCACAATGGGCTGGGCCTGAACCCTCAAATCAAACATTGATCAAGAAAATGTCTCACAGATATACGCATAGACCAATATGATGGGGTCATTTTCTCAACTGGAATTCTCACTTTGCACATGACTACAGCTTGTGTCATTAACAAAAACTACCCAGTGCAGATACTATTCTGCCTGCCTCTCCCTCCTGAGTGCTGGGAGCAAAGGCCTGTGCCACCACTTTTTATTTTTAATTTCTTCAGACTCTATGAAGTATTTGCACATACTATGATTTCCAACTGCCTTCTCCCCATTTAAAGCATTGATTCTTGTTAGTTTCCAGTGGCTGTGAGGAGGATGGAGTGGGAACTATTTATTTACTGGGTACAGAATCTTAGTTTTATTAGATAACTTCTGGAGATGGATGGTGAGAGCTGTACACCATTATAGAATGCATTTGACAGCAGGGAAGCACACTTAGAATGCTTAAGATGGCGACCCTTGTATCTATTAGCCATAATAAAAACATGGCAGAAAGGTTGATTTTAGGCAGTTTTTTACTGCTTTGTTACCCACCTGAATCCTCTGGTTTTTACTGACTACACAGAAAGACAAAGGCTTCCTGATGAGTTCCCTGAGTTCCCGTTGCTTCTCAGCAGAGTAAATGCAAGTCTAAATTGCCCTTGTATGCGGAACGAAGTAGCACAGGGTTGATAGATTACTCAGCAATGATGCTTCTGGGTCTGTCCTATGAGGGTAAGCAGATATGCAGCGGGTGAAGGCAACAGTGGCAGCAGGTATCTGTGAGGAGATAGATTCGAATCTGGAAAATATAGCCATAGGTTGCAGAGCTATACCAGCAAAGGAAAGAACTGTCTCACCCAGGGGAAAAAAAAATACATATTTTAAAGGTCCAGACCAGACTGCATGCTTCTCCTTCAGAGATATAAATTGCTGCGGGAAGAAAGTCATTTTCACCTCAGTGGCTCTGGGTAGGATTGTTCTGAGTACCTGCCACTTATCTCCCTCTTATTTCAATTTAGGAAACGATGCCCTTCTTAGTCGTATGCCTTAAGGCATAAATAAAAAGCAAACACAGTCGATAAAAGAAGCATGAAAACAGTTACCAGCTCTACAAAATCATGCTGGAAACATTTAAAATAAATCAATATCTTAAAAGCATTTAAAAGAAATCAATATTAGCATCTATGAGCAAGAGATTGCAGAAATTATGTGGGAAGATGCTGGCCAGGAGACAGTCTGCTGCCAAAGCCAGACCCAAACCCAGCCTGGCTTTCACTCACCTTGAACACACATCTCTTTCAATACCACATGGCTTTCTCCATCCTTTCAAATCTAGTCTTATATCTTTTAACTTTATTTTACATGAAAGGTATCTCTCTTCAAAGTCACCTTTAGTTAACCTAGTTAAAAGGCAGAGGGAGTGTCACCCCAAATAGCTTGATTTGAGACAATCTGTGCTTTTATAATGTCCCTTCTTCTTCTCGGGTGTGTGTGTGTGTGTGTGTCTGTGTGTGTGTGTGTGTGTGTGTTTGTGTGTGTGTGTGTGTGTGTGTGTGTGTGTGTGTGTGTGTGTGCATGTAGAAGCCAGAGGTTGATATCAGTGTCTTCCTTGACTGGTTTCTACCTCAGTTTTTGAGATAATATCTCCATCATTCTGCCTGGACTAGTTGGTGAGCAAGTCCCAGGGATCCTCTTGGCTCTGCTTCCCTAGTGCTGTGGTTATAGGCACATGTCATCATGTCCTGCTTTTTATGTGGATGCTAGAGATCCAAACTCAAGCTCCCATGCCTGTGTAGAAGCAGTTCATCAACCAAGCCATCTCCCCAGTGCTAGGTTATATGTTCTATTTGGTTATCTATTGGTCTCAGTAAGAAAATGAGATTCAATAAATAAAACTTCCCTTACACAAGTATTGTGTATGCTAAAGGTTGGAAAGTCCCTCGTTTCCCTCTTAATGCCTCTAATTTTATTTGGGGGATCTTTGGTTAGTATTCAGTCTAATGAATATCCTGAATATTTGGACATTACCTCCAGGGAACCACAGTGGTTTCTGTTACTCAACATGCACCTGGCATGTAGTATTAATAGGTGTTCAATAAATATTTGTCATCCGGATCATTAAACATATGGTTTGCCTATAACTGTAATGTTACAAGCAACACTGCAAAGCAGTTATGGACAAGTGTAAGTTGGATGAAATGTCTCGGCTGCTGAGATCACATCAGGTCTCAACTAATTTCTGCTAAGTCATGGGAAAAGTAATTTATACAAATGCTTGTAATAATTAGTGTTAATTGTCAATGTGACAAAACCTAGTATCACCCAGGAGATGGGACTCTAAGCAAACCTTTGGGGGAATTCTCTTCAGTCAATCGATGTGGGAAGACTCATCTTAGTTGTAGGTGGCACCATTTCAGAGGGGTTGGATCCTGGGCCTTTTTACTGAAGACATGGTGTCACCAGCTACTTCTAGATGGTGCTACTGCTGAACTGTATCTTGAACTTTGAGCTAAATATACCTATCCTACCACCCTCCTTCCCTCCCTTCCTCCCTTTACCCTCCCTCCCTACTTTCCTCCCTTCCTTCCTTCCATTACTTTTGCCCTGGTATTTTATTACAGCAAGAGAAAAGAAACCAAAGCAAGGCTTATGATTTGAGAGACAATGTCACACTGTCATCTCTTTTTGTTCTTCACACCTTCCCTGTGAAGAAGCAAAGGCAGACAATTCTTCCTGGGCATGGTGCTGGTCAGAGTGTATTCACCCAGGAAGAGTGTCACCTGAGTAACACAAGAACTCGAGAAATAAGTTCAGATTCACACTTTTCATTATCACTCTTTCCTCTTTCTTTTTGATGGGAGTCAAAAATCACAGTCATACTTCCCAGGTCTCTGGCTCTTTATCCAGGCTCTTCTGAGCCTCTAGGTCCTTTGGGAATGATGCCCAAGGCCGGTAGCCCCAAGAAAGCCTTCAGCAAGTATGTCCTTGAGCTCTGCCTGGAGGAACCAGATTGCCACTGCCAGTATCATGGTTTTTTTCTGTGGGGTTCCAAGCTGAACTGGCAACTCTTTGTTCCTAGCAATATAGCCATGCTATATTGCTCCCACAGGAGCCTGAGCCCATGATGGGGGCCCTTTGACATTGGTGATTCCAGTACAAGAGAGGGTGCATCTTAACAGACTCCATTTCAATCTTCCTGCAATATAGCTTTGAAAATCAAGGCTTCTCTGAGGTCTGAGGCTTCTGACAGCCATGACTGAGGATGGGTCCCAGGTCACCTAAGTCGGCTCAGCTTCCTTCCTCCATATCCATGAACCCCCACCCCACAAGGGCCACCCAGGAGCTGGTTACAAATATAGATTCTGACCCTCAACCCCACAGGTCCTGATTCAACTTACACCTGGAGACCAAGGTGTTCAGGGATCTCTACCCCCACCCCATGAGATTTTTGAGGGCAGGTTGTCACTGGTCCAAACTTGAGGAAGCATTGCCCTGTCGAGTAAGAGCAACACTGCAGGTTTCAAGCTAGGTTTTTTTCCCCCCAAAGATCAATGTCAAAGGAATTCCCACTGGGTATGATTACTCCCATCGTGGGGTGCACAGGAACAATTATTATCGGAACTAAATTTAACTAGGATGGGAGGGACCGTGTACTGTCAAATGGGCTCCAGGTGCACTGTCATTTTCTTGTATGCAAATCACAGCCGTGAGAGTGCTGCAGGGAGAAGGGTGGAGTAGGGAAGGTACCTACTGCAGAAGCACAGAAAGCCTGCTGGACACCAAAGGCACAGACACTTTCCTCCAGTCCAGCTCCAGCCCCTAGAGTCTATTGATTTCTCTGAGGTGGAGGCATGGGCTTCTGGGCTTTGCAAGCTACAGGTAATTGTTTTGTATTATAGTGTAGTGTCAGAGGTGCCAGGGAAGCATCTCCACTCACAACTGCAGGCTCCACTGGGTTGACCTTGAACTGTTGAATGACCTTGAATTGGAAGGTGGCAGTAAGGCTCTAAGGGAAGCTTGAAGTACTATCCTTGTCCAGGAAGCAAAAAGACTTTGTTTTTAAACTCTGAAGGAGGTTTAAAGTGGACTCCCCATTCCTTTCCCTGTCTCTGGTTATCAGGGCATAGAAATCGAGGGAGCCAGGTATGGTAGCACATACCTATAGTCCCAGCACCTGGATGGCAGGGACAGGATGAGCTTTGAGTTCAAGGCCAGCTTGGGCTACATAAAGTGCTGCTTATTGGCTTGCTCCCCATGGCTCATTCAACTGTTTTCTTCTTGCACCCAGGGACACCAGCCCAGGGGCTGCACCTCCTGCAGTGAGCTAGGTCCTTCCATATCAATCATCAATCAAGCAAATGGGTACTACAGACTTGTCAATCGACCCATTTTTTTTAAAAAAAAAAAAAAAAAAGTTATTTTACATACCAACTGCAGTTTCCCCTCCCTCCTCTCCTCCTCTCCCTCCCCTGCCCATCCAATCCTCCTCTGTCTCCATTCAGAAAGGGGCAGGCCTCCCATGGGCTTGAACAAAACATGGCACACCAAGATGAGGCAGAACCAAGCTCCTCCCATTGCATCTAGGCTGGGGAGCAGGTTCCACCTATAGGCCCATCCTATAGAGTCATTTTTTCAATTGAAAGTCCCCATTCCTAAATGACTCTAGCTTGTGCTATCACTGTGCTAGCTAAATAAATGAATATTAAGCCTGCAATAAAGAAGACACAAATCCTACCCTTGTTCCCTTATGTCTTGGGAAAGGCAAAGCCCAGGGTTTCATGGTACTTGAGCCCACCCCTTGTGAATGCATTTCCTTGAGATGACAGCAGGCCAGCTGTGACTCTGTTTATGTTCCCTGTATCACCTACATCAGGGGTCCTGTGTGTGTCGTTAAATCCCCTGTACTCCATCCACCATCAAAATCTCGGGCCTGGGGTACCCGCACTCACAATGTTCACTGTGATTCTCAGATATGCTAGGGTTTGAGATCTGCTGCCTTGAATGCTGAGTACCCTAGTGATGCCTTTTGGCTTTCACAGATATAATCTTTACCATGACCTCAGGACCTATGCAATTCTGTATACAAGTTCATTTTAGACACATAAAAAAATGGGGTATGGCTCTGTGCACACTAATGCTGGGCTGTGGTCAGCCTTCTGCGGCACTCAACGCACTTACATGAAAACACAAGAACAGAGGGATTCCCCTTCTTGCTCTTAAGCTGGTTAGACACAGTGCAAAAACAAAAACAAACAGAAAAACAAAACACAGTGCCTTATTCTGCATACAGCAGCAGTGATTTACATAAGATCGTGGGAATTGCTAATTAGGAAGCAAGGAATTCCTTAATCATTTGAAATGTGGACAAAAGCTCCTCACAGAGTAGCATTGAGCTACAGTTACACTCTGTATACTGGTATACATTCATTGTGGCACACCCCATCCTGGTGAGAGAAGTCAACTGTTTGCTGGTCTGGGAAACTGAACCTGGGCATCTGATTTCCCTTGTCTTGCTCTCTGAGCTTGGACTTCTGTGAGGCCAAGCAAGCAGAAAGTTAACTGAATTAGCCTTAACCAGCGAAGATGAAAGACTGTTTCAGAAGAAACTAGGGAGGTGGCTCGTTGTTACCACATTCACTGACATCATCACCAGAGTGCTGGCCTATCACTTCCCCAACTCCGATTCTCAGCCACCTTGGTAATTCTGCCTCCCTTCCTTAGTGAGGCTGTGAGATTTTGTTTTGAGGTCCCAGGGTCTGGCAGAAGCAACTCTCACAGTCAAGGGGTCTCTACTGATGGATCACAAGGCTAGCTGACTGACACCCAGCTGAGTAAGTCCATCCTTCCCCTAATTAGACTAATGTGTCTACAACAGTACTTCCTCACAAACATACCTAGGTTTCTGTCTCCTCAGAATGCTCAGATTTGGTAACAAGAGTGCCTTGAAGGACTTTCCTGAGAAATCTAAGTGCCCCTTCTCCAGCATTCCCATGACCCATGAGAGTTCGCTGACGCCTGAGAATTCGCTGTGTTCCTATGAACTCCTGGAATAATTGCAATTTTCCTCCCTATTTTCTAGGATATGTTGGCATCACAAAACACAAAAAATGATATCACCCATCATCATTTCCCATCAGAAGAAGTCAATGGAAAATGGAGCCGTGTTGCCCCTGTCACAAGCAGTCATTTGGCCTCAGCTGGGTCGCACAAAGCCAACTTCAGCCAGGCACGGTGGAGTAAACATGCACAGGCCATTTGCTACAGACAGAGTGGGAATTCTGACTCCACCGGAGGAGCTAGGATTGGAGACAGAACCGCTATCCACAGGGGACAACCTAGGCAGAGGCCATCACAGAGGGTTCTCATCTATCACCATTACTGCCCGACGTGTGGGCCCTCCAGCCAACTCCTTGGTATGGGACACTGTTAGGGACTCACTGTGTCCCAACTGCAGGGCTAAGAATGCTCTTCTCCAAGGACCCCCAGCTCTGGCCAGGGAAACCCATCTGTGTCAGCACAATGAGTCCTTCACCTGTACAGAGTTCCCTAGCAATGGCTCCATAGAGGGGCTGAAGGTTCCCCGGCTCATACAAGGCTGTGTACAAGGCAGGAGTACTGGATCACCCACATGGATGACAAAGAGGACAGTTTTTCTTCAGACAATTCACCATCGGGAAAAGTCCCATTGGTTTTCAGTTCCTGTGTCCACCTCCAGGTGTCTCAGCAGTGTCCCAAAACCATTTACTATTTGGACAAGTCTCTTTCTGTCCCCCTTGAGCAACCTCAAATTGCTAGCCCCAAAATGCACAGGTCTGTCCTGTCGCTCAGCCTTCGCTGTAGTTCCCACAGGTTAACAGCAGATGGCGTAGATAGCACAGCTAATGATGAGCCAATCAGCAGAGCCCTGCCACAAGAGCTCTTGGAGGGAAAGCAGGACCTCTTAAATCCACAATGGGGCCAAGCACAGGAAGGTCACTGGAAGGAGAGCCCAGCATTGGTGCCGATACATATGGGGAGTGGCAAGGCTCTGGCAGGCTCCCCTCCCCTGGAAAATGTCAAATGTGCAGATGTGGGAAGGAACCAGGTCCCAGTAAGAAAGGAGAAAGAAGACTGTGCAACATGTCCCACTAGCAGCCATGCCGACCAACTCTCCATCCATATTCCTGGCTGGAGTTACAGGGCAGGTGAGTAGATGTCCACTTGCTGGAGGGTGCCCAATGTCAGTGTTCAGCTAAAGCAGTGCTGCTGAATTTCTTCCGTATAACTCATCCCAGGAAATCTTTCACATTGAGCATTTGGTCATCTCTGCCTCAAGTCAACAACACATAAGTTGATGCTGATGTCACATTAGGAAGATGTTCTCAGATGAGACGTGTAGATAATAAGAGAACTTCACTCAAGTTCCCTATCCCAACAATGTAGTGGCAGGCCACATGTGCAACCCATAGCAAACAGTGGCTCTCATGCGGCTGGAATAGAGTGTGCTCACATCACATTCTAGAGCAGGGTGAGTAGAATAAAATGACACCCACACCCAGATTTTTTAAAACATAAACTCATAAAACATAAAACATCTGAATATTGAGGGACTGGCTAGAATTCTGAGGTTTTCACTTTTCAGTCGTACCATTAATAAATGGGTTAGCATCAACATTTAAAAACTACACCTGAGTTCTATAATGGAATGAAGAGCGTGTATGCATGTTTGCGTGCGTGCGCTATTTACAGCATGTTTTCTAATGGGAAAGTTGGAATGTTCCTTTCCAAACAGCAGCAAAAGGAATCGTGTGTCCCGGGTGTGTCTGGAGGGACCTGGCTGCAGTTTGTTCCTATTTCTGTTCTTTCAGGGCCAGATAGACTCTCCCAGGTAGGCTTCCCTTAGACCCTTTGGCTTTCAGGAGAGGAAGTGAGTCTGTCTTGGAGGGAGGGAAGCAGCATAGATTTCTCTGTCTCTGAATAAACTTCTATTTTCAGTTGTACTTTCTGTGAGTGACTGCTTTATGAGTCATGGACTTTCCACTTGGGGAAAATATTTCAAAGGAATAATAGTAAAACTGAAAATGCAGCATATGCATAATAATTTTATAGTATGAAATTTTGCCCATTAAGGGTTTATTAATTAATAAAAATGACCATGAAACACTTAAAACTATAATGCATGTGGAAATGTTAAATGGTATAATTAATTTTAACAAGTGTAGATATATTGGCTGCCAAGGGATCTCTAAAGTAAGTTCTATATAGCTTTTGGATTGATTAAGCGATTGAAATGCCTGAATCATTGCATACAGGAAAATGCAAGCAGCCATTCTGTTACAAAGATGAACTCCACGTTAGTATTTAAGGCAACTGCTCAAGCTGAGCAGTTCATCTTCCTTATTGATGATGATTCCAGAAACAGAGAAACTGCACTCTGACTTGTGGTATAGAATAATCACTTGGACTTTTAGAAAATTTCACCAAAGGCTCCTTGCAAATAACCAGAGCCAGATAACAAACACCCAGCTTGGAGCAGAGTGGCTTCCTATGGCTTGGTAAGGAGGTTGGCTGTTCCTGTAAAGGTTTTTCTTAAGTAGGTTAGGGGAGGTTAGCTCTGCTTTCTGTGGGGTTGGCATCATCAAAATAAGTAATGCATCCTACAGACTCACTTTTAGAGCCTGACTCTCAATCCCAGGGCCTCAGCCTGTTATTTGAAGAAGGCCACAGAGGCTCAGAGAACCCTGAGCACATTCCCTTATTTTCTAGCTCAATGAATGTGGACAGTGACACCACCACTCTGAGTTTCTAGCATTCACTCAGTAATTAGTATTCTTGAATGTCTTCAAGCTTAACTTTATTTCCCATTCTCTATCAGCCCCAGGTGGGATTCTTGAAGGGAAGAAATACATGTGAGTCTCAACAGTTTCTACCTTAATATCCAACACCACAGAAAGCATCAAGGATTGAGGAGATGCTCAAAGAAATAACTCCTAACCCTTAACAAAGGAAAGTAGAGACCCATGTGTCCTTTAGAATGTTGTGTTCCATTAAAATAAGGGCTGATTTGGGACATGTGCCTCTGGTGTGCATGAATGCATGGACATGTGTACACACATACACTCTCACTCATATATATCTACACTAATTTTCAGTGGGCTACATTTCTTGTCGACTAATGAGAAAGCATGCCACAGAATTCCTGTCTGAAGTTTACCAACACTAGTTACAATCCACTAGTTCTAATGATCTAAGTCTATCCTGGTACAGGGTACGCCATCATCCCAGGGTGCACTTGCAAGCTCAGCTGCTACCCTCATGGAGCCTTTTAGCCTTAATGCAAGTACTCTCAGACCGTGGCGATGCTCATTAAGACTCACAGGACCTGTGCATCTTCCTGTCTGTAACTGGAACTGTAGCTGAGGCATTCTTGATGGCTTCCTGTGGCTATACACACTATTAATGGGCATCATCCTTCATAGTGTCTGATGCCAACTCCTTTCATCTAAAGCCCTTTCAAGCAGGATCCCCTCTGAGCTCACTTTGCTGACATCCAGCTGCCTTTGTAGATACTGCGTGGGAGAGTCCATAGAGTCCATACAGTTTGGGCTGTAGTCATTAGGTCACTGGATAGAAAGTTCTAAGATGGTATTTTTGAATAAGCCTGGAAGAGATGTGTGTACTCAGGAAGACTCCTAAAATGAAGTCCTCTGGGGCAAAATGTCCCAGTAGACACATGGGCACTTACTTCTCCTTGGGACTGAGGTTAAGAATGGGTTCTCTTCTTGCATACCTCCTTGGTCCTTGATGCTTTGTCTTCGCTGTCAGTGAGCATCCTGCTGGTACTGTAGAGGTCAATGGCACACAAATCTCTGCCTCTGTAGTGAGGTGAACTTTCATCTCTCTTGCCCTTGTTCTCATTATCAGCACCATGAATAGTCATGCTATGTGTTGTAAAAATCCCCAGTGCCAGAGCTTGGTTTGTATCTACTATTTCAAATCATCTGAACAATTTTGTAGAGAAAGTATCAGTTAAGCCTATTTTATAGATAAGGCAAATAAGGCTGGAAGATTAAATGACTTACCCAAGTCTGTGTGCCCATTAAGTGTCAAAGCTGTGTCCATGACCCCTGTTGCATCCTTGCCAGAAACAGTCCTCAGCAGACCAGTTCCCATTGTCACCATAGAAGGTGGTATATGAAGACTGCTTAGGAGCATATCAGGTGGTGGCTCAATGGGCTACAAATGGGTTTCTGATGAGATATACTAAGTTGTGTTATCGATTTGGCTAAAGTTCATCAGCTCAGAGATCTTTCCCTACCTGAAATCTGGGTCCCCTGTGCCACTCTGTGGGATGTTTTTCATATTTATCTGAATGGTTCTGACATCACTCTCTCTCTCTCTCTCTCTCTCTCTCTCTCTCTCTCTCTCTCTCTGTGTGTGTGTGTGTGTGTGTGTGTGTGTGTTTATGTGTGTGATGCACTGTGGTCCAGCTTTGAAGCTTCCTGAGACATCCAAGTAGATAGAGAGCAAGATATGATGTTAGATGATATTGGAGAAAAGACTAAGGGATGCTCTACCCACACCTGCTTGCCTGGGTTCCTTCTTTGTGGTGGGCCTTTTGGACTGGTAGGCCCTCAGCAAGTGCACATACTCTAAAGTAGTGGTTATCAAACAGTGAGTGGTGACCCTCGGAATTACATATCTGCCATTAAGGTTACAATTCACAATGTAGCAAAACTACAGTTATAAAGTAGCAATGAAATAATTTTATGTTTGGGGGCCACCGCAACATGAAGAACTGTATTAAAGGATCACAGTGTTAGGAAGGGTGAGAACCACTGCTTTAAAGGCATCAGTCTGAGTAGCTGGAAGGAAGAAACCCCTGCCAGGCCACCACATGGGTACCAAATTTGTTTGTGTTCTGAAGTGTGAGGCATGTGTAGTGAGCTAGCTTCATTTCATTCACACATCAGGCTCACCTGAAGGAAGATGGCCTCCTGTACTCAGCTCTCTCATCCTAGAGGACTTATTTCTAGAGGGTTCAGAAGGATTAGGAAGACACTTTAAATTGTGTTTCCTCCCTCTGATGATCTAGAATTATTGAAGCAGTTGCCCTTGGTTCTTTCTTTCCTCTCCCCCTTTCCTCTTCTTTTCTCTTCCCCTCCCCTCTTTCTCTTTCTTCCTTTCCCTCTTCCTGTCCTCTTCTTCCCCACTCTCCCCTCCCTTCCCTTTCCCTCTCTCCTCCTCCTCCCCTTCTCACCATTCCTCTGGCCTCTCTCCTCCTCTTATAAAGGAAAGTGTGTTCATCCTCACAGACCCTCTGATTTGTATGGCATTTACTCACCCATGCTGTTCTGGTGGGAAAGTACTGCAAATGCATAGACTGATTTGACTGTTGCTGATAAAACTTTATTTACAAAGGCAAATGGTATGCTGGATTAGCCTGCCCATAATTAACTGATTCTTGACCTAGAACCACTTACCAGTATTGTGTCCTGTATTCTTGGTTCTCGGACTCTGAGGGGGGGAAATCAATGGATGGTCTATATGAAGAGAGAGAAGGCATACGTAGATAGGAAAGGCATTTGGTGGACAAACAAAACAAAGGTCATAGCAACCGCAAGGGTGGGAATGGGCCCTGGGCCCTCGGTGTTGCTCTGATCATGAGGGCTGGGCCTTTGTACCACAGGGAGTAAATGTGACCTCAAATGAGGAGCTTTCTTTTGCTGGCTAGTTCTCTAAGATGAACTGATGAGGGAAGTGTTCCCAGAGTATGCCATGCAGGGCACATCAGAGCTGCCCACTCTGCCATTTTCTACTGTCTCTACCATTCTCTGAAAGAAGTCAGGGGTCTTAGGCTCCATTTAGGACAGGACTGCAGGTGGGCCATGGGCTGTCATCTTCTCACCATGGGAAGAGCTGACCTCTGCTCTTCACTCACAAATGCACACCAGGCAACTGTGAGAATGAACCCAGAGCCGTGTTTGTTTGTTTTTTAATTTTTAGTCTGTATACATTTTAAATTAAAATATAAGTCCTTCACCCTCCCCCCTTCCTCTTCCTTTAGTTCCTGCAAAGTCCCCTTCCTCAAACTACTTCCAAGCCACACCTCTCACTCCCAAATTGATAACCTCTTCTTCCCTGGGTATTATTGTTACACACACACACACACACACACACACACACACACAGCAATAACAATAGA